CCTATCATCCCCAAACATGTGCACCTCTCCCCCACCTAGGCCCATCTCGCCTCAATTAGAACAATAGAGAAAGCATGTTGATCATTAGTAATAAATATAATGAATTAGTAACACATGAATTGGTTGAATTTGCAGAAATTAGTATAGCTTAAACCATTCTCTACAACAACTTACATATTTTTATTTTAACACAACTCTGCAAAATCCAAAGTTGTGATTTGGCAAAAAGTTGAGTGATAAGTTGAACAAAGGATTACCAAATGCACTCTAAGATCTTCCTCCATGTCTTAAACATATCTTCCCCAAGATCTTCACCAGACAGATTCCCACAGGTTATTTGTAATGTCATTTTTCTAATTTAAATATACTCATTATTTATACATTTCACAGTATCCCCTTTACTCATTATTTCTAATTCCCACAGGCCTTTAGTTTAAAGTTTATAACTCATAAAAATACGTAGTAATAATTAATGATTGTCGAGTAACTCAGCGAGTGAAAACTTGACACTGAGCTAAGAAAATCACTGAAACACTGAAAGAGTAACTTGGAAAAATGAACAGGCCAATTCAGAGTGCAAATCAGGACACTCGCCCCCGAGTTGTGAGTAGGTAATACAAAACCTATGTACATTTTTAGTTTCAACTCTGCCAAAACTCTTTGAAAACTCTCTAAAAAGTTGCTTGTCTGTTAGAAGAGGCGTTAACCATTTCTCATGTCCTCATGCTTCCCATATTTCCGGGCAACATAGCACAAAACACTAAACTGAGCAGTTCTATCCTGCAAAACTTGATAGAGATCTTCAATTGCTCTCTCCAAACCCAGGTTACATCGGCTCCCAAATTTTAGTGTATACATATAGACACTATACACAAATGTTTATAATCCATAAACAAAATATATTGAAATTAATTTTCCAACTACAACCTTCCATATAATGATATACCACATTTCTAACTGCTCTAAGACACAGAAAACACAGATCCCTCGATTCACAAAGTAGCCAAATGATTATCAGTAAATTTCAAAATTTCAATCAAGTTACACAACTTACACTTATAATCTGAGATTACAAACTGAAATATGCTCAGAAATCACATCTGAAGCATCACCTTATAGACTCGTCAATTTCAATGTCAACCACCTCAACGTCATCAAACGGATCCTTCTTCGGGGCAGAGGGCGGAATCGAAACCCTAGGTGGTCCTCTCCCCTTACGCTTATCCTTCGGTCTGGCCTACACACAAAATAATCCAACCGCAAATGCTAATTCATACAGTGAATCAATCAAATTCGAATTACGATACAAAAACTCGTTGAAATAGACTCACATTTCCAAATGAGTGATTGAAACGCTTGCCTCTTGCCGTCTTCTTATCTCCTCTTCCGCAGTAGACTACAACCAAAATTGCGAAACATAAAACTTAATTTCACTGAAAACAGATATGTATCCACAGAGAGAACAGAGTGAGAGTAAACTTGTCTGTGATAATCAGTGCGTACTCAATGGAAGGCTCGGGCAGGTGACGGAAAACGACAACGAAGAAGAAGATTTCACCGGAAGAGAAGAGACGGCGTGTGATGAGGAGAGTGGTGGAGTGAGAGCCACTATTGGAACTGCACCGGCTAGTAGTAATGCCATCGAAATTATGCGTCGTCGAAGATCGAATGGAGGAGAGTCTATGCGTTTTCTCGCTTTAGATAAAGGCTTGGGACGATGTTGCTGATGGTCCAAATGGATGTAGTAAAGGCGGGGGGTGAACAAATGTAGATTGTAATTCTTCATTTTATTTTTCTTATCCATAATTTATGTGAATAGTTTTAAAGGGTAATTTGAGTTTCCCTTATTATCAAAATTGAACTTTACGTCCCGTTTTCTAAAACTTTTACTTTTATACATCAACCTCATATGAAAAAACAAAAATGTCACTCGATCAGAAATATGTTGAAGGCCAAACGAATTGTTAATAGAAGGGCAATTTTCAGTTTTAAAAGTATTTGCCAGTAAATATTACAATCCAGTAAGCGTTCCTTTTCAGTTTTGAGATGCCAAAACTATACTAAAACTGCCCGAATTAAAAAGAAAAAATTACACATTTATAATTCAAATAAAGATTGTTTACGAAAATGTGACTAATGACTACTGATAGAGTATTTAATTCTAGAGAAAAGTGAGAGTTAGAGAGATAAAGTGAGCAATTAATATTTCTCAACCCCTATAACTACCCCTAGGGAGTATTTATAGCAGTAAATGTGGATTTGGGCTCCTAGCCTTGGGTTTAGGAAGCCCATTACAATAATCTTTTTTTTTTCTTTTTTTTTTTACTCCAGAGGGTCGGAGGGCTGGGGGGAGCCTGGAGTAATCAGATTTAAAACTCATTCCATTGAGTTTCAAACCTTATGTGCCTAGCGGGTTTCGAACCCGAGACCTCCCACTAGGCACTGTAACCACACAACCAGCTGAGCTGGAATGCTTGGTTAGGCCCATTACAATAATCATGCCTCTTTTGGGCGAAATAAGACCATTAATGGGCTGAGTACAATACTTAGTGATGTAGGTAGGAAAATACATCCTGCCAGGGTAATCTCTGGTCGATCTGGTGCCTTTGGCCGATGCGGTCCCCTGGCCGATGCAAACCCCGGCCGATGGGGGACCCACTTCGTCTCCAGGCAACATTCTGAGCAATTCTGGATTTGGCCATTGCGGGACCCACCTAGCCGAAGGGCGCCACGTGGATGTCCCTCTCTGGTGTCTTTGACCTTCTGAGTATGTGGGTCATGGGGCCTAAGCTCATATACTCTATCAACTACATTAGTAATGGAATCATAATAACTTATGTTCGATTTTAAACATAAGTTAACAGAACACTACATTGTAGTAATTATTAGTCATATTTGTGTGAATAAATTTTATTTTAACCCATAAAAATGATTGTGTGATTCAAAATAGGACCGTCATAGCCTAAATATGAGTAATTACTATTTTCTTCGTCCCGCAAAATAGTTCCTGATTTCCTTTTTGGGTCGTCCCAAAAAATAGTTTTCATTTCCCCTTTAGGAAAGTTTTATGTAGCTCACATTCATTTACCTTTTCTTACTCAATTATAACAATACATTTTCACGTTATTCCCACTTTCTTAAACTCCGATTCAAGTCAATGCGGGAACTATTTTATGGGACGGAGAGAGTACATGTTTTGGTAGTACCATACCTTAAACATGACAATGCCCCTGTTTCGATATCAACGGATTTGGCCAATCCGCCAAATTTTTACAAAGTGAAACGCTGCAAAAAGCAGTGGATTTGTGTGAAACCTCCAATAAACAAACGGAGCCAATATTTCTTGAACTTCGCCGTAATTACTCATATTTAGAAAATAATAGGGCTGGGACCAGTTCGGTTCTTACTCAAAATGAGTGGAACCGTTATAAAAGTTTTAACTAATGAAATCGGTTCGGTTCCTATATATATAAAAAATCAAGAACCGTTATGGAACCGAACCGGTAGTAAACGGTTCGGTTCTTCCTTTTACCGGTTCCTAGAATAATTTTCTCGTCTAAGAATTAACACATAATTTTAAACACGCCGAAAATTCAAAACACGAGTATTAAAATTTTATTTGAAGCTCTAATCACTTCAAACATCAAAGCTCAAACTTAACTAATGAACTTTGAACACTTAATAGAACAAAAGTTATTTAAATTTTCATGTAATAAATGAAACATTAAAAATCGTTGTAGTGTCGGAGCGATGAAATCGTCATCATAGTACGTTGCAAGAATAGGACGCCTACTTCAAGTCTTTCAAAACATAAAAAAAAGACATTGAATTTGCATGTATAGATATAAAAAACATTATTACATTCTATTGATTCATAATAAATCTAATAATTAGAAATATCATTAAAATAGTAAAGTAAAATATGTGCAATCAACTACAAGTTATTTGGATTATTTTATATTTATAAAATTTATGTGATGAAACAAAACTTGATTTGTATAAAGGAGTTTAATGTATTATATCAACCTCATGTACAATATTTATTACTTCTTTTCCGTTGATTAAATTAGAATTGTTAGTTAAATATCTTATATTGTTTTATTATTGTTGTTGTGGTGGTGGTTATTATTGTTTTTTTTTTTTTGAAAATGGTTATTATTGTTATTATATTATTATTATTATTATTACTACTACTACTACTAGTAGTATTTTATTTTTTATTTTTTTTAATAACGGTTTCTTAACGGTTCCATGCACATATTTTTTATAGGGCCCGGGAACCGAACCGTTATAACCCGCTTCGGTTCGGTTCCTACAAATGAGGCATTAATTGTTAACGGTTCGGTTCCTAGATGTTGTTAACGGTTCGGTTTCAATTGATTCTACGGTTCCCGGTTCCAAAATCCCACCCCTAGAAAATAAAAACATGACAATCCTATTTTAAAATTCTCAAATGTTTTTAATCTTATTTCGAGAATTTTCCATACTAAAAATGACAGGTAAAAGCACTTTAACACCCTCATCTATTCTTTTTCAAGCACACAACATGCAGTGGAAAAGAAATTCACAATTCCACAATCAGCTTAAACGCGTGTTGACAATTTTATTCATTTGTTTCATCACGCTCTCATGAACTGGCAGTTCCTTTAAGTTAAGGTCAGATTTATTCTCCTTAAGTTTTCCTTTTCTCCCCTGGCGTTCCCGACTTCTCAGTCTATTCTCCTAGATGTCTCCCTCATCCCTCCACCTAGAGACGAGGGCGGGGACTTCATTTCGAAAACTACAAGTCTAATTGACTAACCAGAAAAAAATACTCTTTGTGTACACATTATTTGTACACTTTTTGCGTACACACGCCTAGTTGCCGGTGTGCACAGGCAGTTCGTTCACGAGCTGCCTGTGTACACAGACAACTAGGGGGTTTGTACAACAAATGTGTACAACTAAAGTGTACAAATAGCTTTTTCCATGCAGACATTAGGTAACAGGGAACAAAGAAGTGTCAAGTGAAACAAAATCACAAATATACAAAAAATAATTATAAACTTTCAATGCATTCGCAAGCATAACTAATTCTTGGACAAAATGGGTGCTGCTTTGTCTGTTCCCAGCAGATTGTTGTTGTTGCTCTTACTATCAGTATTATTACAATTATTATTTTTATTATATTACAGCATGTCTAAGGAGCTCATAAAAGTAGCATCACTATTGTTGAGAGGGAAAGGATATGGCAAGCATACAAGAAGACCCATTAGCATGACTGCGATACCAAGAGCTACATATTTGTTGTCCGGATCTGAAATTTCTTCAGACAGTGGAGCAACCGGTCCTCTCTGTAATATGAATATTAGAACTGCCCAGTAAAATGCCACGTCACTGAATAATGCTGATATCCCAAGAAGTCCAATGGAGATAGAACTGAGGCGTGTGGAAGCCTGTGTCACATCTAAAGTCAATTTGGGGAACAATGTACATAGTAATATCTAATACTGTCAGACCGAAAATTCAACAATTCAGTTGATTCCACCATGTGTTCCTCAATCTAGGCATTTCCGGCTTAAAACTTGTTCTCTTATAAGTAACTGAAATGGATTGGGGCGCATAAGAATAACAAATGTCACAATAACAATAATTTTTTGTTCTTTTATTAGCAACTGAAATGGATTTGTGAGTTAATGTACATTTAAGCACAATTTCACATACACCAAATTAGGAAACATGTGATGAAATCCTATGGCATTTTGGTATTGTTCTTTTTAAAGGGACAAGTGGACCACATTAGCAATTTTCCCGAATTCTTTAGCATACAAAAAACATTGAAATATTATTTTAGTTAGTTTTGTATAGTCTTTAGTGGGTAAGCATGAATCAACTTAAATTTATGGGAAAAGTAGTCCTACCTTTCTCCCCCATATGGAGAAAGAGATTCTTCCACCGTCTAGCTCTCCTGCTGGGATACTATTAATGGCATTGATGAGAAGGCCAGCCCAAGACCATAGCACCAGCGGGTTTAAGGATATGGGGACGCCTTCCCTCAATGCATCTCCGAGAAGCAGCTTAGCTAAAAAGATAAGTTTTTTTTCATCATCATAACAAAGAATCTTTATAGATTGAAAGCAGACAAGAGTCCAAGACTGGCTAGTGGCTACAAACCTATACCCCCGACTATAAATGATTCGCGCAACACAGTGGGCTCGACAACCACACCTATGCCATCAGTAGGTGGTAAGATGAATCCCAAAAGCAAAAGAATAAATCCTATTGAGAACCCAGCCAAAGGTCCAGCCACTGCAACCTTCAAAAGATCTTCCCGTTTAGGCACTATGTTTAATATCCTTGTTATTGCACCATATGAACCTATCTGCCACCAAATAAGCTCTCATTAGTAGCAAGGCTTTTGGGTAAAGAGTTGTCCAAATTCTCAACTTTGGGGGAATGAAGAGAGAGTTGACATCCATTGTGATATATCCCCCCAGTCCTGATTAAAACACTTCTTTGTCCCACAAAAAGTGTCCGTATTGAGTTCATATTATTTGCAAAAAAGAGTCCCTAACGAGTTACTTTTATTAAATTTAAATCGACCAAAACATAATTTTAGAAATATACGGACGACTCATGACTTATAGGAGTTGTACCTTATCAGAATTTACAAGTTGTACATTGTACATAGGACCGGGGTAAAAGCAATGGCATGCCAAAAATTGCAATGCTAAATTAGATATTTTTTATTCTTTACTGCTTGTGAAGTTGGGAACAAGATACCTTACCTGCCAGCTAGGAACAAAATACGGTATGCCTAGCTTAACTCCAGATTTTTGTGCAACTAGTTTGTGGGAAATTTCATGGACACCAAGGATGAGTGCAGTTACTAGTGCTCCAGGAAGGCCATTCACCAACAAGTCGTAGTTGTCAAAAACGGACCTATGTAAATAGAGCACTAACATATTAGCAACTAAAAATTACAATAAAAACAGGAGCCATGCTAGGTGTACACTTTTTGGTGTACACCTTTCGTACACTCATCTGTCTCACACACACAGAGTTGTCTGTAACAGTCAATGTAATTGCACAAAAAGTAACCGTCAATGTAACTGCAAAAAAAGTAACAGACAACTCTGTGTGCGTGAGACAGATGAGTGTACAAAAGGTGTACACCAAAAAGTGTACACCTAGCATTTTTCAAAATATAGAGTATATAGGACAGGCCGACAATTGTGTGTGTGCAGGCATTAATTGCAGTGTGCTTGTTTCCCAAAGAACTTTGACATTTTTTAACTTGAACGTGAAGTTGATCGTTCTAAAAGTAGTATCCCCAAAATGGTCGTGAAGGCAGCATAAAGCTTAAAGTGGGTATGATAAATAATGAATAAGGGTAAGGTATTATCTAATTGGTCTGCACTATATAAATTTTAATCTAGTCTTAACTGACTACTAAAATTATAACATGAATACAGAATATGAATATGAAATACAATTAGAATTTGAAGTTTGAAAAGGTGACGTACAACAAATTAGATTGCAATGCAGGCACATTACGAAGAAGAAGGGTAAAAATTGTCACAATTCCAAAAGCACCTGCGGAAAACCATTCTGGGACAGCTGCTGAAGGTAAAATAAAAAATACTGGCTGAATAACAAAGCATTCCATATATAGCAATTATGAAAAAAGAAAGCTATATATTCCTGAGGTTGGATGTCATATAACTACCCGTTGTATCAGGTTGCAAGGTTATTCTTGGGATTACAACTGCTATGGGTTTATCATCCTTTGGATTTATTAGAAGAAATACTTTATACGCATCTCCAAATCTGTCCTGCAACAAAACTTGCAAGTTATTCTAGTTTGATTACATGAGGGGTAAAATGGCTCAGCACAAAATAGAGTGAGGCAAATACCTTCATTCTTGTTGATATTTTTTCGTAACTTTTAGCAGCCTGCCCACGAAGATTCCCATTAAATAAAACTCCACCCTGGAAGTATATCAAAGAAAAAGTTCTAAAATGAACATTTAGAAGGAAACATAATTAGTCAATAATTAAGATAAAGAGTGAATGAATCAAAGTTGATTTACAATATCAATATCGCAATAAGGTGGCGGGATAGGATTGAACATAGCTAGTGGAAATAGCCCACACATGTGGGGGTAATCTATAATGATGACAGATTTGAAATTTCAACTCACTATTCTATCTTCGAAAGGTTGCGATAACTCGATAAGGTCACCTGATGTAAAAAGAATTTATGGTCTTAAAGAATTTGATTATCAATTGACATCATAAATTCATGTCAAGGATTGGAACGTAGTTAAAATTTGATATTGGGTGAGCGCCCCAATTAAGGTGTTGATGTTGATGACCGGAAAAAAATTGATGGTGAAACTCCATATATTATTCCTTCCATTCTTTGTAATAAGATTCAACAACGGAAGTTAGGCATTAAAATGTCCTACTAAGTTAGGACAACCAAATTACACTTTCATGGAAAACATGCTATCAAATTGTTGCTTCTTTTTATTTTTTTGGCATAACTTTATGATGTTACCTAATTTTAACACTTCCGTTGGGTGGTGAATCCATTTTTACACTACATATTTTATGACACACCCCCAACAAGTTGGGATTAAGGAGCGGGTGGTGGTGATGAACTGGTGATTGACCTAAGAGTTCCACCAAGCACCGGTAATTGGATTCGAAGTATCATATGATTGTTTTGTAGTCAGCTGTACAAGTGAAACTCTAAGGATGTGTGATGTCATTTGTGGTGCTCACCTCATATGGTTCCTGACTTGTCACAAAAAAAGTGTCAAAACCAAACACTTGTTCTCTCAAAATATCGACAGTTTCCTTTGGAATCCTTACAGCTTTGTCAAGTGGCTGCGGCTGGTAATGGAGTAGCAAAAAATATAGGTAGGCAAAGAGTCAAATTGTAAACATGCCAAGGGATGTATGATAATAATAGCAGTACACAATAGTTATGCTAATAGTACATATAATAATAAAATTGATTGGGCAACATCTTATCACCATTAGACCTGGCAGAGGAGATCCGCTTGCAACTTGATTCTCAGTGGAATCCTGCATCAAAATAAGTAGTACATAAAGTACGGAGACATAGTTGAAAATGGAAAGCACAATCATGAAACAACTCCAGATTTCAGTTTCATATAGTTAATCAATTACCCATGTTGCAAAGTTTTTGGTCTCTTTATAAATTATTACTGGTAAAATGTAATAATGTATTGGCATGAAGCATGAAAATCTAGGGTCTGTTGGAAATTAGCTGACCCTTCAGCGTCTGCACCAACTACCTTGAAAATACTAGAGAGAGAAGAGAATGACAGAATAAATTTGGAAGAATGAAGAAAGTGGGGGGATAAAGGATAAACAAAAAGTCATTGAAGTTTTCCAGATATTTGTTGATGCTCAATGTATTCATTTGTGTCTGTTTTTAATAACTTTCTTTAGCATTTTTCCCTTTCTGTAGCCTTTTCTGTCACCTTATTACTTGTACCCTTAGAGTGTTCACAAGCTCGTATTACAATGAGGCAACACTTAAGGTTTAACAAAGGCAGAACTAGGACATACTTCATTTCCTATCGCTTTCCACCTTTGCCTCTCCACTTCACTCACACAGGTTTGCAAACCACACTCACAAAGGTTTGCAAACCATTTCATTGGAAAAATAGATATCAAATACTTCATTTACTCATAGCTTTCCAATTGAAGACCTATTTTAATCAATAAAAAAATTAAGATAAAATATCACCAATTATGAAAGCAAAATGCAAATTAGCATCAGTGTACTTTTAACAAAATAAGAGTTAAAAGTAGTGTCATGTCTAACAGGTTGAATCCATATCGGAAGCACGCAAGAGAAAATATACCTCATTTTCCAATTGGGAATTCATATCTACAATATTGCTGTTAACTTTGTCATTAGATTCAGGCAGCTCAAACTTTATTCCATTATCCTAGCAGAAAACATACCCCAATAAACACTTACAGCCCAAACAATACGAATATTCAAATGGATAACTAATTTACCTGCCAAAATATTCAAAAAATTAGCAATTACATGACAACCCTTCTTAACAAATTACTAAATGAAAACACTGCATAAATGACAATCCCACTTGATCAGGCGAAGAGCTTGACTGAGAGTTATCTGATGAAGCTGAGTCAATTGAGCCCGAGCAGTTTTCTTCTTCATTCAGCTTCTTTTCCTTTAAAACACAAATAAATATTAAGGTGAGGCCAATTTCTGATAATTCACATGGTGAAGAAAAATATAGTTTACTCGAAGAAACTAAGGAAATAAGGGGAAAGCAAATGCCTCGTCTTCATTTCTATCAGGTCCTGTTTCTGTTGCTCTGAGTCTGAAAATTACACCTCGCTTCAAATTGAACTCAATCCTAATGGCAAGAACTAAATGTTAGAAAAGAATCAGACTTGTAATCCATTCAATAACCTTATTCTATCATAGCATTGAAATAGTCACTTCTTTAAATGATCATTCATTAAGCTCAAGTTGTGCTGCAAAACCTGAGCAAGCGTTTCGTAGGAAAATTGATGGATTTCCGACGAGAAACTGCCGATAAAGATAGCAGAGGCTGGAAGCGGGAATGGAAGCAAGAATTGCACTGTAATAAAGGAACAGTAATACCGCGGGAAGCCGCCGGGAAACTCATAGCGAAAATGTTCTGTAGTTCTGGTAGAAAACTATTTAAAACTTGGTAACATCGAATGAACGGTTTGTATATAGCAACAAAAGATTTGCAACGAATTTGAATGAAGATCAGTGGTCTTTAATTCCTTATGGGAGAATCGGAGGTTCAAGCGAAAAATCTTATCTTTTCTGGCAAACGATGGTAAGGTTTGGTGATATCACACGATTCACACATTTCACGAGGTAAGGGTGGATTTAAGGGAGAAGGACCAAAAGTGACACTAACGTTTTTAATGAAACTCAGATATGACATTCAAGTTTTTGGTGGATCAAATAAACACAATTTAAACCTTTTACCCTTATTTTTAACCACCCACTAACATTCCCGTCAAAACTACCGTTACTCCTTTATGAAATCTCTTCCCTGCGTTAAAACACCACAAGCCCCCTTGCCTCGTTCTTTCTCTCCCTCTTCACTGCTCTGTTCTGTTTCATTCCACGCAGGTCGTAGTTGTTCTGATTCGTCTCCGGAAGTTTCAGTCAGTCTTCTACTGCGAGCTGTGGTGTTGAGCGGCGGTGACGAATCTGATTCGACGGCTCCGACTGTTCTTCTTCCTCCTCGCGAAGACAGGCCTAGGGTTCTATTTTCTTTCTGATGCCTTTGTAGCCAGGCAGCGTGAAGGTCAATTTTTTTTAACAAACAAATAATCACCTATATATATATATATATTTAATCTTCAAAGGTTGCATGATTGATAAATATGTCTACATCGTACACACTTACACTTCAGGATTTATTTTCGACTCCAAATCTGAAGATAAGAAAATTACAGAGGTCTAATCCGGACACAGAATACAAGCAAAAAGGATTCATTGAACGGAAAAGAAAAGAACTCATAGCTAATCATGTCTCCATTAACTGAGGCTTAGATTTTTTTCTTTTCCCCCTTACTGCTTCTCTTCTTTAGTATACCTGAATGGATAAGTTATGTCGATATATGTATATATATGGTACTCTGTATATAGGGTTGCGCTCGTCGGAACCCGAACTTGAAATGGCGGCATGGTTTATCATAAGGTTGTTGGAGCTGGAGTCGGAATCCGACATGTGGTGTTGTTTGGGCGGCGCCGGAGAGGAAACATCGTACTGTTGGCTTGGGAAAACGAAGGCAGCAGGTGGTTCTTCCCATTCCCAAAGGGAAAACGAAGTCTGTGAACGATGTACATTACTATGTTTTACATTAGGGTTGTTCGATGAATTTATTGGGGTGGATTGTAATTATTGGGTGTTTTAGCACAAGGGGCTTCAATCATAACTAGGTAACGGTAGTTTTGACAGGAAAGTTAGTGGGTGGTTAGATATGAGGGTAAAAGGTTTAAATTGTGTTTATTTGGTCTATTAAAAATCTGAATGTCATATCCGAACTTCATTAAAAATGTTAATGTCACTTTTGGCCCTTCTCCCGTGGATTTAATACATAAACTTAATTGGAGACTTGGAGTAAAGAGTGCATCTTGATATCCTTTTAATTGGAGACAATAAACGTTTAGGGTGTAAATTTTAATTGAATTACATACAAAGTACTTGATGAATTGGCCAAGAGTCATGTGCCAAGAACTTGTTGTTGCTAATATGTACTTTCTTAAGACTAAGAGATTATATGCAATTGAGTTGCAGAATTACTTGGCCTGTCTCAATAGAGAGAGTAATAAAATAGTTGATGGTGCTTAGGTACCATTCGTAGGAGGACCATGTACGTACCTTTTATTCTTCTAAAAATTTCTATCATATTATTATTTTTTTTAGAAAGAATTAGTTGACCAAGTTGAAGTGGTTGCCTTAATTTCTTAGCATTCTATTAATGTTTGTATATAGGTAGTTCCAATATCTAGATCTGCCATTTTACTAATATTTGTGTAGTAAGTAGATATTCCTAGTGTTGATCTTAAGTCATTCTTTTTTTGTGTAAAATATCTCTTCGAAGAGTGAATGAGTCAGTTTTTTAATAAAATTTGTGTTGATCCTATTTCTTCTTAAAACGAGTATTGGTATTTTGGATAGAAACTGCTACGAGAACTACGCTTTTCAGGCTAAAAAGTACGGAGTATGTAGTAATAAACATTGATCACTTTTAAAATGAATAAAAGTACTCCTGCAATCAAAAGAATAAATTAGCTAAAAAAATTGTTGTTTTTGTAAGTCAACAACATAGACTATTGATGATCATTTTGTTCAGTCATCAAATAATAAGAATTAAGAACAAAATCACAATATTTCTCAAACTTTTGCACACAAGGCTCGTGAATGCCACTTATTCCAACAAGGCTCGTGAATGCCACTTATGCCACTTATGCCACTTGTTCATGTCCATCGTTAAATGTGATGTAGGTAATATTGGGCAAACACTCTCGTGCTTTGCGCGAGCAAACGCTAGTTAACATGTTAATATGGATGAGTTTGCTAACAAAATGTTAATAAGTCAACTCCTTAAGATTGATGCCAACCCCAACTCCTTGATGGACTTCCTCTTACTCAGCGTCAATCCCTACAGGTCGACTTTCCCTTGGTCGATGCACCTCTGCTGGCCGCCGCCCCACGAAGATCGACCTCCGAAATTCGATTTTTCCTTTTTGGTCAAATTCATGAAGGTCGGTGTCATAAACTTGGTCCATTACTTTGGAATCTGTTAGTTAACTCAGCATATTGACGTGTTAATCAAACAAATGTATTCAATTAACACTAAATAACCGAGTTTGTGTACTTATAAATGCCAAATGCAATATAGTGTACTTTTTACTCCACTTTGTACAAGTTGATGTACTCAATTGTCCTTTTTCACCATTTCATATGTTGGTTTCAGTTGATAGGTCACGCTGACTTCACAAATTTTATCATTTTTTTCATTTTTTTAGTTATAACATTTTCATTTTTCATGTCAACAGACGACTTTAATTGTCGTTATATTGAATTTTCTAATTATAAGAAAACTTTGAAAATCAAATCATGGAGATTTATAATGAGACGAGTTCAACAATACTTTAAAAAAATCAAATAGAATAATAAATAAAGTGTAGTCAAAATATAGAATATGAATAGTATAAAGCTATCCATCTTGCAACTAAAAAGAAACGGAAGATGGTACTACCTATGTCCTGTTGCAAGGTTCTGATCATCCTAAAACGACACATTCATTTAGGCAATAATTAAATAAGGTAGTTCGAGTATATTTTGAGAAATAATTGGTATTTAATATAATGTGTTCGTGTTGATAATTGTCATGTTATAAATATATTATTTTTAATATTTAATAATTAATTTATCATTTGAGATTGTTGATTGTTTCTAAAGTGAAAATATGACAGTATGTGTGACGTCCCAAAAAGAAATTTAAACCTTTATGTGAGGCAAAGAGAGTATTTTATATGGAAAATTTTAATAAGATTGATTAAAAAGAATACATAGAACAATCTTATTATTATTGATATATGGGAGAAATATTATTGATGAAAATGTCCTCGTTAGTCTTCCATATAGTGCAGTTCATTCAAATGGATTTTTCCTTATCAGAAGGTGCTCAAGCAAAGTGTCCTTTCTTTGAATGACCAACTTTCTGGCAGCTCTACTACATAGGGTGAAGCTTTAATGGCCCCAATTGTCATTTTTGTTGAGCTGGTACTCGAGATTATCAATAAAGATAGAGTTAAAGGGATATAGCTCACATCACAGGAGGTGGTTTTACAATAATATATCTCGCATATTTCTTAAAGGTTTGGGAGCTGTTATTTATAATGATTCCATGGTAGTTTCTCCTGTATTCAAATGGATTAAAGAGGCATGTCAATTGAAGATGCTAAAATGAGGAGGACTTTTAACAGGGGCATCGGGATGAACCTGGTTGTGACCTAGACATGGCTCTTAAAATTTTAGAGGATGACTCATATCCATGCAATGCTTTATGTATTAGTGAGGTAGTTGAAGAAGATGGAGTAAAATACCATACCATCAACATGAGGAAAAAGAGCATTCTGCATCAGTATAAGATATGTTTTTTTCACATTCCTCATCTCAGCGCTCTGGAAAGTTAATGCATAGTGGAATGTGTATAAGCAACTAATGATTTTGTAGAAATAAAATCGGCCAAATTAGGGGTTATGTAGAGTATTGAGAAGTTGGTCATTTCACAAGTAACTTTCAATCGAGCCAGTCAATCTAATTTTAATGGCAGTATGGCATCAGAGCAGATCCTATATGATTGCAAGGACATAACTTGCAGCTATCGATTTGCTAAATTCTTAAGAATATTTTTGTTGCAGTTTGTAATAATTTGATATACTTGTTGGAACAGTGAATAATATAAGTTTCATGTTTCGCAAAAAAAAAAGGATAAGTATAACACCAAGGGGTCATTATACATGGATTTGTCTCATAAATGATTTTTTGCATTTTATCATTTTTATTATTACTACGTATTATAACATCACTTATGCCCATGATTCTAACTCCATTATCTCTTTTGTATAAAATCACATTCTAATATGGTAATTATATTCTTATGTCTACATATATTTTTGGTCAATTACTAGACTACCAGAAGTAATTCCATATACAATCTCTATCATTTTTTCACTAACCAAGAATTAAACCAAATGTTTACATCAAGTTAAAAGTTATTGGGTATTAAGGTAATCGTGCAACGCGTGTCACAAAACTAGTATATAAATATATTAGTATTATATACTTCCTAAGTAATATGTACGTGGTAATTAGTATTATATACTTCCTAAGTAGTATGTACGTAGTTAATGATTCATCAACATTGTTAATTATTGTTGTGATTTGCAGGCGCAACAAGCAAAAACAATTTTTGTGGGAATGACAATAATGACAAACCCTTTAAGTTTGATCACGCTTGGCATATCCTTCACACATGTCCGAAGTGGTATCAACAATACGATACCAATCCGACTTTTACACCCATGCCTTCACTCACTCCCGACACATTTGTTGGGGGAAGTAGTGGTTCCTCTATTTCGGACGGCATAAGTGGTCCACTACGTCGACCCGAGGGGCGTGACAAACAAAAGGGGAAGAAAATAGCCAAAACCAAGACTTCCAAAATGGACCCCGTAATGTTTGAGTTCATGGAGAAATTGGTAAATCAAGGTGAGTTAATGGAGAAGAGTAAAGCGGAGAGGTATGGGGTGGCGAGAGGCAATGTTTAAATGACTCTAAAGCAGAAAAATATAGAGATCATAACCATGGACATCTCTTAGTACTCACCGAGGAAGCAGATATGGCTAAGAGAGCAACAAAATGCAATCTTGGGTTACGATCAAGATGTCCCGAGTAACGATGGTGTCGGTTCTGATGAAGGAGATGACTACTTCCCCACATTTGACTAGGGGATCTCCGGAGTTGTATTTCAATTGCTTGTTTTTAATTATGTCTTTCAATTTTTCACTTTTTAATTACGTACTACGTACTTTAATTTTAATAAGTTGTAGCTTATTTTATTAGTTTGAAATTGTACTATGTACTTTAATTTTAATGGTTGAATAAAGCTCCACTTGCTCACTCATTTCACATCAAGTTTAATTTGTACTATCTTCTCCACTTTGAAAAAATGTCATACCCACTTGCTCACTCATTTCACATCAACTTTGTACTAACTTTTCCACTTGAAAAAATGTCATACCCACTTGTTTTGATATTTCACATCAAATAAGTATAATATGTAAAATATCTTAACCAACTTCCTTTACATGTAAGTGTAAATACATGTCTCATTTCACATTGTACTCACACCCAATTGTCCTCCTATTCTATATACATTAAAATATAGTCTTTTCTCATTAGTTGTTATCCTACAATGGAAGACGCACTAGACGAGTATGAAAACAGTCAAGCCGAGTCTCATCACATGAGGATGGCTATGATGGCAGCACTTATCAGTTCAAACTCAGGTGGTCGTGAGTACATTGATCGAGAGAGGGAAGAAGGCCACCGTCGTTTGATGGATGACTACTGGAATCCCAACCCAACTTAAAACGCTCATATATTCCGTAGGCGTTTTCGAATGCTACCTGGTTTGTTTGACCGCATCATGAACGATGTGGTGTGTTTCGATTCTTTCTTTGCACCGAAGATAGATGCATTCAACCAGGTATCTCTTTCCCCTCAACAAAAATTAACAAGTGCAATATTCATGCCTGCAAATGGTTGCTCAGCTAATTCATTAGATCAACTTTGTCGTTTGGGGAAGACCACAATTTTGTCGTGTCTTAAAAAAATTTGTAAGGCAATTATTGGGATTTACGGTTCTTCATACCTAAGATCACCCAATCCCGATGATCTCCACCGCCTACTAGAGAAGGCATCCAAGAGGGGATTTCCGGGTATGATTGGTTCCATTGACTGTATGCATTGGGAGTGGAGAAATTGTCCAACGGCATGGGCAGGCCAGTTTACTGCGTACAAGCGCAAACAAACTATAGGGCTTGAGGCTGTTGCTTCATATGATACATGGATATGGCATGCGTTTTTAGGTACAGCTGGTTCTAACAATGACCTTAACATGCTTGCAAGCTCCCTTGTGTTTAATGCAGTTGTGAATGGCTTTGCTCCTCAAGTCCACTATACGGTAAACAATAACTTGTACAATCAATGTGATTACTTAGCCAAAGGGATATATCCCACATGGGCTACTTTTGTTAAAAAAATTAGCCCCCGGACACCCCTAAGAAACAACTCTTTGCTGCTAAGCAAGAGGCCTATCGTAATGATGTCGAAAGAGCATTTGACATTTTACAAACGAGATGCGCTATTTTAAGAGGTGCCGCCCGATCGTATGAGACACAGACTTTAGGTGATATCATGCTCACATGTATTATCCTACACAACATGATTGTGGAAGATGAGTATGAAGAAACTGATGATGATCCGGGTACTCAAGATTATAGTGCGGACTATAACTATATTGGTCCACACATTGAATTTGATCTTAATCATGATGCCCCCACTCTAAATGACTACATGATGCGACATAATCGCATTAGGAGCTCTTCGGTGCACACCGCTCTAAAAAATGGCCTCATTGATCATTTGTGGGTGCATCACGGGAATGGCATGTAGTTGGTTGTGTATTTGTTTTTTGTTGTTTTCGTGCACTTTTGCTTCAATAATACCACTAATGTTTGTGGTTTTCCTTGTATTGTTATGCATTAGGGATTTGTTTCTCCGTAATCAACATTATGTTTTTTTTGTATTTTATTGTTAGTATTTAAATTGAACAAGTTTTGTTTCAATTTATTCATCTTTATATTCAGCAAGTACAATTTATAATAATATATAGTAGTACATATTTTGTTTGAAAACTACAAAAAAATACCTACGAAAAAAATTATTTTTTACATCGAAATGTTTGCCTTTTTAAATAATAAATATTTGTAAAAAAATGTGTCATATAATTGATGTGTGATAATAAAAGTAAGGATTTATACATTTATTTAAAAGAAACTGTGCAGAGTGAATATATTAACGGTACTGGGTTGCAGAGAAAAACTGATTGACTTAGTGAATACATATAAAATGCTAGTAAATTTGATTTATTGACGGGAGCGGGTTGTGGGCAGCCTTATAGGATCAACGAGTTATATTGCTTCTCTGAAAGTGATTGACTCTAAGTCTGGTTCGAGGGTTGACGGTTGCCTATGGTCCTTATATTGTTTTAACCTCTTTATGAATGTTAATACTCTTATATCAATGTAAGGCCCCCTCTTCCAAAAAAAATGGAGTAGTACTAGAGAGTAGAGACTAGTTACTGAACTAATATGGATAACACAAACGTTAATCAATGTTATGACCTCTTTATTGACGGTTGTCTATGGTCCTCATATTGTTTTAACCTCTTTCTGAACTTGACGGTTGCCTATGATTCTTATATTGTTTTAACCTCTTTCTGAATGTTAATATTGTTATATCAATGTAAGCACCTCTTTCGATTAGTAAACAGTTTTTAAGCAATTTGTGTGTTTACCTCACCTATCTTACTAACTTAAATGTCACTTTAGCAACGAAGTAAACACCTCTTAAGTCATTTAGACAAGCGATATCACAATTTATCTATTAAAAAATCATATACACTAAAATAGAAATCTCAATAAAAAGGAATATCAAAAGTGTTTGGACTTGGGAGTATTAGCAATTAATCAAACAATAGGAATTGCAAAATTTTGAGAATTTTGTAAACCTACTCCTTTGTTTACATTTTGTACCATGTTTTACTCCTATTTGAGAATTTATCTCTAAATTTATCCATATTGCCAATGTTTGCCGGACATTACTCTGATTAAATTGAATAGCTCTAAACATAAATAATATGATATAGTACCGTGAAAAGGTAAGATATAAGAATATTATATTATACTTTATTATAGTAATTAATTATGAAATTATATACCAATTATTACCATGTTAGAATTAATTGATGTTTTTTATTTATATGACACGTTTTTAATATATTCAATAACAAAATCCTCAAAGTTTTCAAAACATATATGATCTAGTGAGCCGCTCGCGAGCCTAGTTTTATATGTGTGTATATTTATATTAATATATACAATATATTAATACACAATATAAATTAATATATAATATATATTAGTAAATATAGTATATCGATATAATATATATATATATATATATATATATATATATATATATATATATTACTATATAACACCGATTGGTAAATGTCTATGAGGACTAAGGGAGTTTTTATTAATTATAAAGTAATTTAACAAAAATAATCATAGTTTCATCCAATATTTCTTCATGGTTTGATTACTTTTGATTTACATTAGAAGTATAATTGGGTGGAGACTTGGAGTTTAGATTATTTTTTGTTTATTTTTCGTTGTCATAACTCTAGTTTTAATTTGATTTTCATAATTTGACCATTTTTTATTTTGTTTTGAACAACATTTACTCTACTTTTAGTTGATGGGCATGTAAATTGCAATTTCTAAATGTTGAGCACAAATATTCAAAGATTGTTTCATACTTGAGCTCGAGTTCGAACCCGAACTTTCGAGCTAATCAAACTTGTAACTTTTGAGTTGACGAACCAAAATAATCGAGCCAATTGAGCCATCTAAATACTTGCGAGTCGAGCACAAGCCCCGATTTTGTAAGCTCGTTCAAACCGAGCTCGAGCCAATACAATATATTTTGAGCTCGAGCTCGAGCCTACATAGATTCGGGCTTGGCTCGGCTCATTTGCACTATTGGTGTCAGGCCAGCCTGACAGGACTCACCGTCTGGCCGTGGGCATTTGGGGCTCTTCCCGATGGAATTTTTTGATTATATTTTTTTACCATATTCATCATCAAGTCTACTGAAAAAATAAAATGTGTTCAAGCCCGCCAAATTTCAACTTAAAATTCTATCGAGAATGCAATCAAATGAATTTTTGAAACAAATTGTGTTGTTTATACATAAATTGAATTGGCTCAAATTTGGTATGGATGAACTAGACTTGATGAGGAACATACACAAAAAATTTCAGCCAAAAATACCACCGGTTCTCTGGGTTCTCATTTTAAGAGGGGTTCTCACTAGATATATATATATATATATATATATATATATATATATATATATATATATATAAAGCACAATTTTTGTAAAGAATTTATTTAACTGTCTTCCCGATCAAATTTTTAGCTAAAATTTGGTATGAATGAACTACACTTTATGAAGAACATGCTAAAAAACTGTCATAAATAATTCCACCAGGATGGCTCCTAAATGGTCTGGACTTGACAGTAGTTCTCATCAAACCGACATGATTTGCCCTCTCATTTCTAATACATATGTGAGATGTGGAGACCTTTTTATTATAGTCTAACTTTTTTAGCGAGTGTTTTTTCAGTTTGACTTAGATATAAACTTTTATTTTTGTAAAACACTTCTAAGTTAAAAAAAACACTTTTAAGTTGTAATATTTTTTTTTGTACTTGACTTTTGTATGTGATTAAAGTTATACTCCGTGTTATATACTAGTATTTGAAAATTTTTGCTCCTGGGTTGAACCCTGTATCCGCTTAGATGGTAGACCTCCAAAAAAAGTGGGCAAGTTTTTCTTTTTACCCCTGATCCGCCCATGTATGCAGATGGTACGGACACTGTTCCAGCATTCAAGCTTTGCTGCGAATCAAGTTGAAGAGAGCACAGAAAAAGAAGCAGGTCTAACTCGTAAAGAGCAGCAGTCCTAATAAAGGAATATATATGCACTAGACGAAGTACCCGTGCGATGCACGGGGTATATCTAGAGTGGAGTAATAACTTATTTGAAATAACATTCTATCATGAAGTGTAATGATACGTAATGAACAATTTTTTAAATAAAAGGGGGAAAAGGTCCCTACTATTTCTAATAATACTGAGACATGAGAAGATGATGCAATTATTAAGAAAGTAAAAATAATGTGATACTGATTTAGAACCACACAACGTTTATCAAATTTGGTATGAAACAATCTTAGTGGACGAACCGAAAAGGAAAAGTGGAGTAATTTTAGCCTAACAGAGGGAGAACTATGTGTCATTTAACCGGTGTTTGACCTGTAATATCATGTTTTTTATATTACAAAACTTTAAAATTTTGTTAAAATTCAAAATGTTATTAAAAAAATTAGTTGTCGGTAATTTCAGAATGTCAAAGTCTATATTTTTTTGGAATTATTTGTATATTTTGCATCTTTTTTAAAGTTCTTACAATTTAATTTTATGTTTTTTATATTTTTGCTTTATTGTTTGTCTTTTTTCTATTTTTATTGTTTATGATAACTTGTTAAAATTATCTATCCATTCTGAACTAATACATTTTTTTTTATATTATTGTTACATTATTTTTTAAATTTATATTATATTTTATGAGATTAATCAATCATTTTTTAAATTAACATCATGTCATAGCAGATTAAAATGACTTGATTGACAGTGATTCTACATTAAACATGGTTATATGATATACTACGTATATTTTTTGGTATATGAACTTAAGTGATGTATTAAAATCATAGAAGGGTTTATTTGACATTTTCCTTTTTTATTTTAAAAAATTGCTCATTACGTACTTTTAAGTTTCATGCAAATCTTTAACATTTCTTGTATGTTAAAAAATGACTTGATATATATATTTTTTACTCCAGGGGTCTGGGGGGGCCTGGAAGACCTAGAGTAATAAGGGCTAAAACTCAATTCATTGAGTACTCCAGGGGGGCTTGTATGTTTTTGTTAATTATTCTCATATACAGAACAATTGGTCGAAATAATTTTATATTTTGCATTACTCTCTTCGCAGAATAATGGTCACACTTTCTTTCTCGGGTTGTATGAAATTACTTATTTATTTCAGTTTTTTGAAAAGAAATCTACCCTATAATATGCTACACTTTATCAAAGTATACAATAGTGTTATAGTACCAAAAACAATTTATTATTGGTAGTGGAACAGTCCAGTGGTGGTGCCAGCTCCGCCAGCAGCAGCGGGAGCGAACTCCGACAGTGGCGGAAATACTGGCGGGCCGCCAAAAATCTAGGAAATTTTCCGGCGGCGGTAACAGGCGACAGGCGGCAGTCACAGGGCAGCAGTGAGGGCATTTTGGTCCAATTACAAATAAAAAGTCTCGTTTAAGGATATTTTGAGGAAAAAAAGGGTAAAATTCAAAGTTTGAAGTGGTGTGGCATAAGCACCCCAAACTTGCACATGTAATATATATAACCTAAACTTTGTCTTAAAAGTTATATTTACCACCATGATCATATATTTGTTCACAAATGTAATTTATGGGATTAAGTGCATAATATAAAACACTTATGAGGATGCAATTTATGGGGTTAAGTGCAAAATACAAAAACACTTATGAGGACGCAATTAAAAATAAATTGTACCGATGTCATATTATTTATTTCACAAATGAAAATTTTAGAATGTTAATTACATCGTCAAAATTAAAAGTGTAGAGTATTTTAAATTATGTAATTATTCCAATAAATTTATATTTGTAAAAAACACAATCATAGTGTGAAAATAACGTTTTAGATAAAATTCAGGTATATATATTTCATATGCAAGTTTGGGTTGCATATCTCGCACCTCATTAAAATTTGGGGTATTTATATTATTTTCCTCAAAAATGAATCATATTGTAGTCCTATTAAAGTAGAAGCTCCTAAAAGTATAAAGATTATAGACCACTCTCGAATACAGTACACTTATGTTGGCTACGTGCTAAAAACTTAAAATGGCTTAATATACTACTTAGTAACAATTTAAACAGCTACTAATTGAATGGTCATTAACTTGGTAAGAATTATTAAAAGTTAATGAAAGGGAATTTCTAGAGATGCATATACGACATGATAAGAGCATATATTTCATTATATCATAAATATGGTACGTTTGGTTAATAGATTTTTTCCAATTTAATAATCATACGTGTAGTTTTAATTGACCATCCTGTAGTTTTAATTCTTCATTAATTGTCTATTATGACCCTAATTTGGGCGGGATTTTTCCCTCCAATTGCTGTCCAAAGACTGTTACTTTATATTATATAAAGATATCATCTTCCCACAATCATCTCAATAAACAGCTATCAGCCTATCAAAGCTTTTCAACCTTGAAGTAGTACGGTAGTACCTTATTTACATTAGTTAGTGTTCATAGAGTTAAAAGCTTTATAGAAGAGGGTCAAGAGACTGTGTTTAGAGATTAGACATTTTCAGGTTTTTGATCCCACCTTGATTGGCGTTTAACCCCCACATTGTTCGTTCCATGCTTGCCAAACTGTGTCGGACAATCTGCGGGCCCCACTCGTGGCAAATACATGAGTTCAGGTTCATCCTCGTCATCACTATCGATCCAACCATAACATGGGAAGCGTCTCCTTGGCGGATGAGAAGCAACAGGCTGTGGAGAAACTTTTGGGGGATGAACAGGTGGGGCCTGCAAAGGTGCAGACACAAGGGGTTCAACAGGCGGGGCCCTCGAAGAAGATGCAGAAAAAAGGCGTTCACCAGGCGGGGCCTGAGAAGAAGATGCAGGCACAAGGCGTTCACCAGGTGAGGCCTGCGAAGAAGATACAGACACACGGCGTTCAACAGGCAGGGCCCGCGAAGAAGACGCGGACACAAGGCCTTCAACAGGCAAGGCCCGCGAAGAAGACGCAGACCCAAGGCATTCAACAGGCGGGGCCCGCGAAGAAGACGCAGACCCAAGGCATTCAACAGGCGGGGCCCGCGAGGAAGACGTAGACACATGGCATTCAACAGGTGGGACCCACGAAAAAGGTGTTGACACAAGACATTCAACAGGCGGGGCCCGCGAAGAATGCGTAGTCATGGGGCTTTTAGTATGCGGGGCCCGCGAAGAATGTGTAGGCATGTGGCTTTTAGCATGTGGGGCCTGCAAAGAACCTGAAGGCAGAAGACATTCAGCAGTTGCAGCGCGCTGCAGATTCTTCTCACAAACTGGATTCTCCTGAATCTTGAAAGGAGGCTCAAGTGGGGCCGGGACAGCAGATATCTTGGCCATGAGGTTTATGGTTGTTTGGTCACTTGAAATGGAGTTATCTTTAGACCCCTCCTTAAGAATCAAGGTTGATTGGTCACTGTGGTGCTCCCCAGTTTCTTTTAAACCAATTTCATCCTCACTAACAAGGGGCATATGTCCTGCAAAAACATACTCAATAGTTGTTGAAGGAAACATGAACTAAAATGGTTGCCAAATTTTTTAGTGTAACCCATGACCCATCGTATGTGCATGCTTCCCAGAGAGTGCCGAGTGGCTCATAATTTTCAAATTCAAGTATGGATTTTCAAACAAACCTTGGTTGGATAAACAAGTTAAAAGTTTATTCACTTGTTTCGTTATGCACAACTTCCCAAATCTGTTGATACATTCTTAGAATCTATTTGGTAGCCATGATTGGTTTAGTAATTAGTATGCTTTACAATCAGCAGCATAAGTAAAATATAAGCAAGTTTTTGCTTATTTAGCTTACTATACTTCGCCAAACAGATTCTTAAACTTGTTGGCACCAAACTTAAGGTGTTAATGACACAAAATGCTGACCAACAGACATGACATCAAATTAGGTTCAAATATTACATAAAGATCACTTGCACTTTACAGTGTGGAAGAGAGAAAATCGGTATAAGCCAATTCTTGAAGCATTTATTATAAGAAAAAATAAAACAACTGAAACAAATCCATTGCATGATTTGAGGACATGTTAAATGGCAGCTAATAAATTCGGGAAAGACATTATTAAGCTATCAAATTTGACTTAAAATCACATTTTTTCTGTTGCGAATTAATGTTCCTAGTGTATAAGTATATTCAGCAAATAAGTAAGAATATATATACACACACACTGATGAAGATTACCAGCGTTCACATTATTAGTGCAAGTACTTGAAGATGGTGATTTGACAATGCTGATGTTCTCTCCTTCTGGTGCAAAATCACCAACTTCTGAGCATACCATTTCTGGAGCAGTGTTTGATGATGATCCTGCCACATCTTCAGCCCTTGCATTAGGTGCTTCACTTTGCAAAGATTCATTCTGAATATGATGGGTATATAAATAAATGTTAAATTTGTTTTTAGCCCCAAATTTTTTGTCCCCTTATTATCATTCCTCACTCATTCTCTAAAGCATTGCCATTCAAACCTTAACTTTACTCTTACTCTCAGTGTCCCCCCACCGAGATGTTAGGCTTGCTTGGCAACCTACAAATTTCCCCCAAAAAATACATTCTCTTTTTTAAAGAAATATTATGAATAAATATGTTTTTGGCCCCTATTGTTTCACCCTTTTTCAATTCAGTGCACGTTCTTCAAATGATTGCGTTTAGATCCTAAACTTAACTATTACTTTCAACTGTGCCCATTTCCCCATAACACTTCTTGGTCAATCATGATCAAATTTGATCAACGGTACTTTTAAGTCTAAATTATTTAAAATATGAAAGTTATTTGAAAACGTTCTTTGTTAAAAAAACAAAAAAATGGTAACTCAAATCATTGTCCAAAACTTATTAGCATTGACCAAAAAAGGTCAATGTGGTCAAATTTTGTGGGACGGAAAACATTGTTTCTACAAAGTTAAGTAAAAATGAAGTGCTTGGCAGCATTAGATCATCCCACATAATTTGTTTTAGCAAACTCAGATCATCCCACATCTAAAAACCACAATCCAATCTGCCCTTCCTTGAAATTAATCCTATAGAACCAAATTTTGGAGCTGAAAAGATAAACAGGTGCTAAAGACAGAGAACATACATTTGACTAACAATGAACAGGATAACACTTCCATTAGAATATGTATATAAGGCAAGAAGCTAAGATACATGAATACCTTCTCCAAGTTTCCTTCTCTAGGTGTCTCTGAATCACGAAGAATTGCATCTATGAGCTCCTTGTAACCATACTCCTCAATAAATGGCCAACCATCTTCTCCACCATAGATCTATCAGTAATAATAAAAGCATCACATTATACCAAAAACCCTTCTTAAACTCAAAATTTGCACTTCTTTACTAAATTTCAACACAATAGGTGGGGGAGGGAAGCCTTTTATAAAACGATTTCAAACAAATTTTCAAGGAAGACTTGGTAAAGACTTACACCGAGAAGTTGTTTCACCGTTTGGACAACGACTTCCTCATCGAAACCCAGATTCCGCATCGCATCAATCGCTGCGTACATTCTTGTTGACCTCTGTCTCGAAAAAAAGAAGACAAGGCATTGGAGACGCTAAGAAACCTCGTGAAAAACATAAAAAGTAAGTTCTGAAGGAAATGGGGGGAAAAGAGCGAACTTTTCTGGGTCTTCCTCGGGGAGCCATTACTGCGAAGCTTGTGAGAATAGAGTGTCGCTTTAGCTGCCTCCTGCCGCAGAGGAGATTATCAAAGAAAATGTGCAAAGGGGTCAATTTTTTGATTCTTTTCGGGGCGGTTCTTTTAATACATTAATAAGTTTATAGAAGTGGAGGAGAGGTCTATGATGCAACTTTGTGTAGCTGCAGTCTTGCAGATGAAGAAGAATTTGGTTGTATGAAAATGGCAAATATGCCATGCAGAAATTAAACATTCCGTACAGCAGAAGGGTCTGCTTTTTGTTTGGCATCCCGCACCATTAACGTGTGGAGTACCGGGTTACCCACTAGGCCACTACCCATATTCCCATATACCCAATGCTATACCCATTGTATCTTCGATGTTCACCTAGTCATATGTAACATATTCTACTTCCTATTAATTCACTTCATTCCAAATTGATGTGTAAAATTGACATTTTTATTAGATTCATTTTATTAACTTAATTAAGATGTGAATTTTAATTATAATCTAATTTGAGTGTGCAACTTTAAAAAGATTTTAAAGTAATTTTTGAATATGTAAATTTAAATAATTAAAATTTGAACTAGTTATCAATATGGAGGATTTAACTTTCTCATTGATTCACCAGAAAATGTCAACTTTGTAAATAAATTTGAGACGAAAGGAGTATTTTATACGATGTATCTTATGATAGAGTATATATGGGCTCACGTGAAGTTATCATCTTTTTTATTAAAGATTGATGTAAACTCTATGGAAATAGGAAATTTAACTTCTAATTCGAATATTTTATTTCTATTTTTCATCATTCTCAAATTTATCTTTATATCTATAAGTGAATTGAAGATTATATATATTTTTTATATTCTTTCCAAACAAATCACAACAATACAATTTAATTTTACTAAATAACGTAACGATCGCATTATCTGCCAGGAAGTACTCCAGTGTGACAGTGTCAAACCTCGTGTTGACGCACACCACACTCGTGACTCATGAGTACACTGCAGTAGTAACTCATTTGAGAAAGTCTATGATGACCTTGGTATACCATGCTTTTAATGTAGGTCGGATTGTGATGACATTTTAAAAAATTCATAAACTTTTTTTTTTAAGAAAGGACTTCACACTTTCCTTTTTGGGATGGTCTAAAATAAACTTCACACTTCCTTATTTCCTTTTTGGCAAAGAAATCTACATCAAAACAGTGCCAAACAGTGTCAAACAATGCCAAACAGTGTCTTAACAGTGCCAAACCAGTGTGCCTCAACAGTGTACTTTACAGTAAAGTCAAATTTCTTTCCTTATTTTCTGTAAAGTCAAAGTGTGAAGATTAAATAAAACCGGAGGGAGTAGCATTTAGATAGGGGTTAAAATAACAAAAGTACCACAAGTAATCATCCACCCTTGGGCCAGACTCTCAGTTAATCACCTTTGACAAAACAATATAACTCGTTGATCCTAAAATGGGTATAAATGAGCCAATGACGGTTACTGTAGAACTCTCATCACTCATTCCTAATGCAAAAATCTTACAGAACCAAACAAAATAAAAACCAGAAACGACGGTCTCAGCGTGAAAATTAAAATGAAAACAGCAATAAAGTTAAAACAAAAGTTTGACTTCTTCAGCCACAATGACCCTCTTAGGACTGGCGGGTCTAAGAACTCGGACCCGCCGCCTCCCCATTTTTTGCTTTATCCAGAGCCATCTTCTCTGTTGATGTGTCCTCTTCTGCATGTTCCTCACATATCCTTCTGCGTTTCTAATCAATTGATACTTCCCCTTCCCTTCGAGTCCCTTCTTCCTTGGTACCACTATGCTTTGTCCCATTTCTTCTTCCGTGTCCCTCAGTGCCTTCACTCTCTTGAAAAATCCTCATCTGTTGCCTTAAACCCGCATGTCTTTCTATCAGCCACTTATTGCCCCTTGTGGGACTAGTCCCCCCCCCCTCCAACTCGAAGTTCAAACCCAAAAGTTTTTTCCAAAGCTATACCCTCCTCATATTTCAAGGGACAAAACTTCTCTCAGAGTGTCCAATCACCCCATAAATGAAACAGAAATTAGGTCACTTTGCATATTTAAAGTCCACCCAGTGACCCACACCTCCTCTCGAAAGGGTAGAGCTCTTCTTTAAGGGCTTCCTCACATCCATCCTTAATGTAGTTTTTGAATATGTAAATTTTAATTATTAAAAAATGAACTAATTATCAAATGGAGGATTTAAATTTCACATTGATTCACCAGAAAAGGTTGACGCTGTAAATGAATTTGAAACAAAAGGAGTATTTTATATCTTATGATCAAGTATACTCTCAAGTGAAGCTATCATCTTTTTGATTAAAGATTGGTGTAAACTCTATGAAAAGAAATATGAAATGTAACTTCTAATTCGAATATTTTATTTCTATTTTAATCACTCTCAAATTTATCTTTATATTTATAACTGATTTGAAAATTATATATATTTTTATATTCTTTCCAAACATATCACAACAATACAATTTAATTTTATTAAATAACGTAACGATCACGTTATCTGTCAGGAAGTACTCCAGTGTGACAGTGTTCGTCAAACCTCGTGTTGACGCACACCACACTCATGACTCATGAGTATACTATAGTAGTTACTCATATGAGAGAGTGTATGATGACCTTGGTGTACCATGCTTTCAATGTAGGACGGATTGCAATGACATTTTAAAAAAATCATAAACTTTTAAATTCATAGATTTTTTTTATGAAGGATTTCAAATGTTCAATTGATTTAAATAAATCTATGGATTTCATCTAATCTAAAAACATTATAACTATGAATGTAGGTTAGTACTCATATATTATGTCCTCCTCTCATTTGCATTGATACTTGTACACTTTTATGAAATTAATGTAGACATAAAATTTTTTGGTCAAAATTGCCCTCTACTTCCGTTAGCTAAACTAACAGTGGCTCAACTCGTCCACTAACATTTTTAGGAGGAATACATTACGCTTTATTTGATGTTTTGTCAACTTTGTTTAATTTTTAAGTTACTTTGTTTAATTTTCAAGTTATTCAAATAATGTCATGTACAAGTATTTAAATGAATGTTTTGCAAAATATCTGATGTCTTTAGCAAATTTTGTGTAGGAAAATCTTAGTAACACGGATCGAAAAGAAAATGTAAAATTTTCTAAATAGGAGTAAAAACGTTTTGAAATTCCAATATATGATTGTCATATTTTTATTCCCCAAATAGGAGTACTTTCGGTCAAGTTTGGCGTTACCAGACTTTAAGCATGGTAGTTTTTTCCAAATTTGGCAGAAATTACTTTTATTTAGGGAATACAAACACAGGGGTCCTATTTTGGTTTTTTAAAACGTTTTTACTCCGATTCGAGGTAATTTTTAATTGAAAAGTTTTTTAATCCTACAATTAAACAAAAGGTTAGTCATATATTTTTTATGGCAAAACAAAGTTAGTCATATAATCAGTTTTTATATTTCAAAGGCTACAATTAATATTTTAGTCATTTTTCATATATTTACAAATATTTCATATTTTAAAACAAAAATATAGCAAGATCATATATATAATCACATGCTCGTTCAAAAAAATCACATGCTTTTAAATATAGGCATAGTTTCCACACTATTTGGCAGACATGGAATACTCCTCCGTCCCAATTTGATGGTCTTATATTTCTTTTCTCAGCCGTCCCAAATTGATAGTCTCATTTCCCTTTTTGAAAAGAAAGATGTGGTCCACATTATTTCACCATTTTCTACTCAAATCTCAATCACAACTTTTACCTTTTCAACCACTTCCTTAATTTTTGACCCCAAAAGCAATGAGACTCTCATTTTGGGGCGGAGGTAGTACAAAGTATTTCATTAATTATTTACGATAAACAATATTACTTTATATTGGGCAAACTGGACAAACGCTCTCACGCTTTGCGTGAGCAAATGCTAGTACTAATGATATTTATCAATTTTATGAAAACATAAGTTTTAACAAAAACTATGTAAAGTAACATCTATAAGTCTAATCTAAATATCATAAAGGTCAACTACACAACCATATAAAATGATGGCTAAAGGCAGGGGCGGAGCCAGAAAAACGGCTCAAGGGGTCGAAAATCTACTATGTACAAAATGAAAACAATAGATCGTTTTTAGACATTATCCGAGTTGAATGTTTCATTTGTCGTTTAAATAAATAGACGTTGGTAGCAATAAGATAGATTTTCTTTGCTCTATTTCTAAATCATGTCACGTAAGTAATGAGTTAATTATACATTTTTTTAAAAAAATTTTGGAAAATAATCAATACTCTGTATTACACATTAAATTTTGATGATTTTAAGTTTAGATAGTGCTGATTTTTCTAGAAGGCAAAACGTTTTTTACTCGTAATGAGTTACAGGGCCCATAATATATCAAATCGAAGATATTTGAGAGCTCTATGCTCTCAAAGTTTCAGCGGGGTCGGCTGACCCCTCTTGGCTCTTCCCCTGGCTAAAGGGTCAAATAAGCCCTTGAACTGACTTAAAGTGTTCAATTAGCCCCTTATATAGGAGGTTCTATCCGGCCGTCTCTAATTGGGGCGGTTCCCGGTGGAATTTTTTGATGAATTTTTTTAAGCATCTTCTTCATTAAGTCTAGTTACTCATACCAAATTTCAGCTAAAAAGTCAACCGGGAAGGCAGTCAAATGATTTTCTGAAATGTACTGCGCTGTTTAACTTCGCAGTTATCTTCAAAAAATCATTTGACTGCCTTCCCGGTTGAATTTTTAGCTGAAATTTAGTATGAGTAACTGGACTTAATGAAGAAGGTGCTCAAAAAATTTCATCAAAAAATTCTACCAGGAACCGCCCCAATTGGCGACGGCCAGGCAAAACCTCTTATATAAGAGACTAATTGAGCAATTAAAATCAGTTCAAGGGCCTATTTAACCCTTTAGCCTAAAATGATTAGAAACAATTAAAAAACAATGAAGGAAAAACTATCCAATAAGCCTCCTATTGTTTCAAAAAAGTCAATTGAAACCCTGAAGAAGAAGAACATCCAATCAAACCCATGCCACGAAAAAATAGTCAAATCCTCTTCTTCTTTAGCTGAAAAGGGAGCATATTAACCGGTTATGTGTTATCCTACATGTCAATTTTCATTTTTCCCAAATTTTTTTCTCTCTCTCTTTCCTCTCCACCACATTTCTCTTCCACCCTCTGTTTCT